GAAGAGCAATGCAAACTGAACAGCCCCCCACAAGCTCAGAACCTGTATCCCGTTCTCTTCAAGAATGATGAGCCTGGCTGCAGGGCAGATGAGGTGAAAGGCAGAAGCAGCTTCCAGAAGGCAGGTTGCAACCTTGACTAGGGTGAATCCTGCCTTGGATGTGCAGCAATGAATACGCCTCCCTTCTAAGATTTTCTGTAAGTCACTGTATTGCTTAAAGTTCACAGACCGTCAAGAGTAATAGAAATTTACAAAATCTAAAAAACTGATTTCTTAAAGAAATTATAATATCCTAAGTGCATTTCTGGTCTGTTAATATCTGATTTAGACATGTGATACTTATGCAAATTATACTCTGCATATATACTTAAGTAAAATAGCATAATTATCATTAAAATGAAAATAATACTGGGATTTAGTTTTCTAAAGTGAATATTAACAATGAGTTTTAAATCTATCTTCTGGATGCAAAATGTTGATGTTTGTCCATTCCATATTTTAAAAAAATGTTCATTCCTGATAAATTAATGAAATCATTACCAGAACTAGAATATAAACAAATATTTACCTTCTGGCTATTTAATATAACAATAACCTTTACCAGCTAATATTTATCATGCACATCACACAAAATAGTCACAAACCTAATTTTGCTAGTGCCAACACTGATACGCTGCTGATCATTTGTGATTATAAATGTTTATGTCACTTTTGTAATTAAGGGGTTAGATTGATGTAAGCGGACAGTCTTTGTACTCCCTAAAGTAACAGAAATTTAGAGGGCAAAATAAACTTGTGCCTTTCTGAAAAGATTTGTATGCAGATAGGCTCATGGAAAGGCTCATTTTTGTTCTTCAAAAATACAAAATAGTCCAGGAATTTAATCTAAGCAATCAGACCCTGTTGAATATATTCATCAATAATTTTCACTTGCTGACTGCCCACTTTGCATGGTAGTATCTTAAGTGAGATACCCTTTAAGAATACTCAGCTAAGAATATTCAGCCCTGTGCTTCAGATTGTCCCGGTAAAGGAAAAAAGTCAATGAACGAACACAAAAGCAGATTCTAAAAGATACAAGAACTAAACAGAAATTCTGAAAGCTCATTACATTTTGACATTTTTATCTCTATAATATCCACATACCCACATGCATATTTATAATTTTGCATAAATGTGACCATACCATACATTCCAGGATTCTTTTTAATGCAACATGTTTTCATTTTCTCTTTTTTTCTGTTTCCTTTCACTCACCTTCTTATTCTCCCTCCCCAACCCACACTACTCTCCCTTAAGGGAGCCCTTATTATAAAACATGTATTCTTTAATACTTTTCGCTGACATGCATATATGTACTTATACACACATACAGACATAGAGATTGTTGTCATTCTTTTATATGAATAGAATCGTAATATAAACATTTACTTTGCTTTTCTCCCTCAGTACCTTAGCAGGAAACCCAGCACATCAACTGGAGTAGCTATGATTCATTCTGTTTACTGGCTATGTAATATTCTACATTTAGATCACAATAATTTATATAACCTTTTTCCTATTGTTACATATTCACTTTTTAAATTTTTCGCCACTATAAAAATGTTGCGGTATACATCTTTGAAAATGTCTCTGTATATGAAGATTTTAATTATATAGGCTAAGTCCCCAGGGGTGGAGTTATTGAGTTGAAAGACTTTTTTTGATAGATTGCTTTCCTAAAAGACTCTAACAATTGACATTTCCTTTAACAATTTGTGAGAATACACTTTTTCTGACATCTTGTCCAGCAATGTTAACCTTTTTAATCTTTGCTAATATGTCTAAAGTAAAATGATATTCCATTGTTATTTTAATTTATATTTTCTTGTCTGCTAGCAAGCTCAGGTGCCTTCCATTGTTGTTGGTTTTTTAGATTTGCTCATCTTCAATTTCCTGTTTATATCTTTTGCCCATTTTTCTGTTGGTCTATATTTTTTTAGTCATTTGCTAGCACCTGTACATATTAGAAATACCTACCCTTTATTTGTCTTCTGTGCTGTAAATGTAGTTTTTCACATCTATCACATGTCTTTTGATTTTGTTGCCATATTAGAGTTTTTATCTGTTTTTTAATGGACAAATATGTCTACTTTTTTTATGACTTCTGAGTTTGGGTTAAGATATTTGTACCCTTAGACCGTTCACAAAGTCTTCCGGGTTCTCCTTCAAGAATTTTGTTGGTTCTTTTATTAACATTTTTCTTTAAAGCATCAGGAATTTATTTATTTTTATATCTATGATCCAGTTAACAAAAGTCTATTGAGTATCTACTCTTAGCACTGTGTCTATAAGCTAAAATGGAATCAATCAAACCTCCTATCTCTAAACACCTACCATATACAGATCACTAGTGACAAGGCAGGAGGGCATCAAAACCTACGTCATGACCGCTACCATCCAAAAACATAAGGTCCCATTATTTAAAAAAAACGAATCACAGGTAAAAATAGTTAAGTTCTATATTATTTTGCTAGAGCTGCTGTAACAAAGTTTCACAGACCTGGTGGCTTAAACAACAGAAATTTGTTTCCTCACTGTTCTGGAGGCTGGACGTTCAAGATCAAGGTGTTGGCAAGGTTGGTTTCTTCTGAGGGCTCTCTTTGGCTTGTAGATGACCATCTTCTCCCTGTGTCTTTACATCATCTTTATCTGTGTAAGTCTGTGTCCTAATCTCTCATAAGGACACCAATCATATTGGATTAGGACCCACTCTAAAGACCTCCCTTTAAAGACCCTTTCTCCAAATACAGTCATATTCTGAAATACTGGGGGTTGGGACTTCAATATGTGAGTTTTGTGGAAACATAATTTAGCCCATAACACATGTTAAATGACTTGTACAGACTATGAGTACTATTGGTGTTCACATGAGAGGGAGATCACTGAGTACTCAGGGAAAAACTTCGTGGAAGAGTAAAGAGTGGAGACAAGCATTGAAGGATGCTTAAGATTTCAGTGAGACTATGGCAGCCTTTCTATGAGCTGAGAGTGAGCAAAGGTACAGTTATAAACATGGTATGTCAAGTTCCAATGAGGTAACAGGCTGACCGGAGGAGATGATTAATTTGGGGTAGGCGGGGAGTGGAAGATAAAATCGAAACTGCTGAGATTTTAAGTCATCTGGATTTAGAAGTTTAGGCTCAATGAAGAAGGGGAGGGAAGCATCATAATTTTTTTTTAATGAAACTTCCTACAAAAGAAAACCAGATTTTTCTTCCTGAAATACCATTAAAGTATTGACATCAGTCGATTGTCCATTTGTAGGAAATGAAGAAGAGGGATAAGACAATGTGACATCAATATTTTGAACCCGGGGACAGGAATAATGGTGCCAGTGAGGCTGTGGTATACAGATTTCTAGATGGAGAAGAAAGATGACCTCTGGTTCCTTTGAAGGTTTGAGATAGAAAAGTTCAATGAGAAATTAGGGCAGGGGCTCTGGGGTGGAAGAGAGGGAAGAGAGGGTCAAACCTGAGGTAGTCGTTGTTAAGTCAGCATAGAGTAACTGGAAAGTGCAAGAAGCTGAGAAAGGGATGATTCGATCCAGGAGGCAAAGGGATTATTTACTCATTCAGCAAATTTTTATTAAGCATTTACTATGTGTCAGGCATATCCTTACGTGCCAGGAATACAGAGATAAATAAGATAAGGTGTCTGCCCTCAGAAACCTCCTCCTCAGTGGTCGATACTGTTAAAGGATGAAGAAGTCAGAGATAATAAGGACAGATAAAGGGCCTTTGGATTTGTCGATAAAGTGACCTTGACCTTCTCAAAGACAGTTTCAATAGAGTCTTGGGAATAGAAATGAGATTGAATGGGGAAAGTTTGATGAGAAAAATAGAGACAAGAGCAAGATCTCCTTTATTCCCAGAATCTGACTAGTTTTTCACTCTCCTGGCATTTACTCAGATTCTTTGTCATCTTCAATTTAATTAATTTTTATTACAATAGTAATGTTCTGATCTTTTCATCCAGACTTTAAATAATATTGAAAGGCAAGTTAAGATCACTTTCGTGTTTCTAAAAACATAATAACTTGACACTATATTTTTATGTTTCTTTCCACTCAGATTCAAATCAGTAATATAAGTGGATACGAGCAATACATTCTAAAATGATAATACTTTGCAAGAGCCAATAGAAGCTGTTTAATAACCAGCACTGGAACAGATGACCTACACAAATGCGGTCAGGGCATGGGGTATCAAGAATCATAAAACATAGACAGAAATATTTCACAAGAAACCTATTAGCTCTATAAATATAAAGCCACTTGTAATGAACACTGATGACACCACGGCAGATCATCACAAGCTGTGATGATGTGGCTGCAGCTTCGAGAACTCGGCTATGTTGACGAAAAGGGCAGAAAAAGATGACAAACTTGATTCTTTCTTGGTCAAGGTTTTTAAAGTCAGATCTGAAAATTCTAATAGTGTGGAGTTCTGAATTTGGCAAAAGATTAGATTAGGCTTTTAGGAAAAGAGTCAAGCCTACAAATGTCTCTGTTTGAGCCATAACCTGAGGTGGTACTTTAAAGCAAACATCAGGCTGGGTCGCCACTGTGTAAGTAAGGCTGGCAGTAGGGGGAGGCGGGGACGGTGAGATTCTGTGGGCATAATACCCCTTTTTAAAGATTGTCTGGCAGCTTTGTCTCTCCCTATTCACCCTCCGAACTGCATGCAGTACTGTATTCCACATTACCAAACTATGCATTTCTTCATTCTTCCCCTCCTCCTCTCTCCCTTACTTCTCAAAGTTCTATACCACCAGCTAATCGGAAGGAAGCACATGGTGCGGAATAGGATAAGAGTTGGTTTGGGGAACAAAGGTATTGCCTCTTTCTCCCAGCTTTAGCCCCAGTGGTATGTATGTAATTTTTTATTTACCCCAAAAGGAAAACGTTGCTTGATAATGGTCTGTCATTGAATATCTGTTTATGATCGCCTTTCTTGTAGGTATCTCTAAAGGAGAAGAGCCAAAAATACTGAGACCCCCAAGACGGCCCCGGAAACCCAAAACGTTAAATAACCCTGAAGACTGCACATACTATTATCTGCTACATGTAAGTGACTCACTCTTATTGTCAGAGGAGGAGCCATAGCGGCCACAAAACTGACCACACTAAGCGTTAGTCCTGTCCAGAGGGAAGGGAGACGTGGCTCAGCTCACGCTTCCTTGTCCAGTCCCGGGCTGAGGATCTGGGTATCTGCTGTCCTCTGGCCCCTCTTCCTCACTGTCCAGGCCTCTCCCACAGTCCTGTGCCTGCCATGTCCTCTTGGCAGTTTTTTTCTGCTGGTCCATTAGTCTAAACTGATATGCAAATAGTAACCCAGAAGGGGAAGTACATCATAGCAGGCTCTCTCCAAAGAGGGACCATAGGTAAATAGGTGACTTATGGTAAAAGTGGAAGAAAGGGAAGGAACGGGAAGAAGGAGATGTTTATTGAGCACCTTTTGAATTCCAGGCCTGGACTGAGGTGTGTTCTCATACACTGTGATACCTAATCCTAGAAACAGCCCCTAAGGGGGCACCGGCACCTCACAGATCAGGACATCGAGACACAGGTCCGGCACTTAGCTCTCAGGGTCGTTACTGTGCTGAGGTCTTCTGACTCTGGGACTCCCCTCCCTCGCCTGTGCAGCATGAGAGCCCCTTGGCCTCACCCCTGCCAGCCTGCCCTTCCTCTCATGGTGCTGTCTCCCTGAATGCTACCATCATCTGCTTGGTTACCTAAGCCAAGAACCTGGGCGTTGTCCGGGATCTGGCCCTCTCTGACATCATACCTGACATCTAATTCATCACTCTAAAGTGCGGCTTCACCGGCAAAGCCTCACTGTCCTTCATTTCCCTCCTCTCTCCTCACAGACACTGCCCTGTTCCAGACCATTATCATTCCCCACCCGAATGCTTCAGGCCCCACCTTAGTGCTTCTAATCCAGCCTCTCCAGCAATACCAGAAAATTTATCTAAACCGTAAATCTGATCGTGTTCCTCGCTTGATGGACCCTTTAATAGCTCAGCAACTCCCTCAGCATGAAGTCCAGACTCCTTCCGAGGCCGGACAGCAGAGAAAGTACCAAACATTTCCTACTGACCCTGACTATAAGTAGTAAATGATGCTCAATGACCTTTATTAACCGCAGCTGAAATGACGATTGATTGCTGTGCCTTCGACGACAGATAGTTCCCGATATGAGAAATTATATGAGACTTTGAAATAAGGAGGACTGTTTATTCTCAACTAACCAGTCATTAAGAATTAGGAAGCAAATTCTGAACCTCACAAATGAGCCCTTGCCCCCCAAAAGCTTACTTGGTCATTGAACTACTATTTTTTAAGTGAATATAAAGTATTTTAATGTATCTTGAGCTCTTAGTAATTGGAATCCTTTTCATAACCTTGAGTCTTGAAATCTGTAGCTGCAGTAAAAAAACAAACAAACAAACAAATACAGAAAACTAGTTTCTTATTATAAGCAAAAACACAACATATGCTCATATTTATCTGGCCTTTGCCAAGATTCGGGGTGCTACACGTAAGTGAAATTTACAGCTATGACGGGGGCCCTGCTTCCTTTACCCATCAAAACACTTTCTATAATTTTAAGTGGTTTTCATGAAAATTTTTCCAAAATATATTATGTTGCACATTTCAAACGTTTTCTTAATACCCTCAGGTCTCTGTTGTGAGCAAAAATGTTTGCACTTTATCTGGATCTATGCTTCTCCTGACCACTGTGTCCCAGGCAGCACCCTGTCTCTCTGTGTCCCCTGGCTCTGCTTCATTTTTCTTTTTTTTCAGAGCATTTGTAAATACTTATTTCCCTTCTTCCATGTTGTCTGACTCTCCCCTGTAGACTGCTACAGCCCCTCTGTTGCTGGAACTAGAAAACTATTTATTAAGTAACACACCCCTGTAGGACAGGCTCTCAGGGGGCTGCCGGGCTGTGGAAACGGTTCCTCTTGACCTGGCCATGACCTACAGCTGTGCTTTCAGTTGATATGTCTGTTCCAGCTTTTGTTCCTCCTTGGGCATCACTTCTTACTGTGGTCATTCTCACTGCCTTAACGTCAACGTCCGCTCTCTTCTGTGATGTGACGCTCATAATCTCCTACCTCTGGGAAACGTCGTGTCCTAAAGTCAAGCCTAGGAAGCATGACACAGAGGAGCGAGCGTTAGCTGGGCACGCACACCCTGTGGTACAGGAGGCCACTGCAACACTTGGACGTTGGGCGGTCATTAGCAAAAATGACTCAAGCCCAACAGTTTTCCTCAGAAAAAGGAGTAACTGAACTCAGTTTTATTATTTTCTCCAGTACCTTCCCTGAACTACGACAACAGGTATTTTGGCCATTCCGAGATTTTTTTTTTTTTTCCTATGTTTTGGCTACTTTCTTCATCCTTGTGAAGACCTCTAAATAAATAGTGTATTTCCAAACAGAATGTTAAGACTGCATCCACCATGATAGAATGAATGTGAATTTTAAAGTTTTGTCATAAAACTTATTTATGTCAGGTGAGAAGGGGAGGGAGTGTAATGCAGCTGATTATTCCAAGTCTTTGAGCTAAACATCTGTTTTCTCAAAGGCCTCCTCAGGAAATACCCACAGAGATATCTCCTCCTTGAGTCAAGTTTGTCTCCTTGTCTTTCTCTCTTCTTTACTCTAGTTCCATAAGAAACTGCCTTTGCTTCTTTATTTCCATTTCAAGTCAGTAATTTGTAATTTCAAAACCATAATTGAAAGCATCATTTGTCTTAGCAATAAATACCCTTAATATAAAGTCCCGTGTGATAAAATTTATGTTAAATCATATCCTGTGAAATTCAGTGCTTCCTTCTTCATGATAAAGAATGCAAGTTTCATGCTTCCCTTTTGACCTTAACGGCTAGGAAACTAAGAGACAGACCTAAGACTCCATCTTAACATATTTTTGTCTTCTTCATTTCTCATTGATAACTTCTATTTTCTTATTTTGATTATATAATTGCTTCTCTTATAAGCCATCTTAAATAATTTTTGGAAAAATATTATCGAATTATATTTCATTAGAATATTCTAGCACAGCCAAGAAATAAACCTGAACGGTATTTTTCTCTTCTAAAAATTCCTATAACTGAAAACCAACCTATATACACCTTATATACACCTCCCAGAAGGAAATGCTGATCCAGAATAAAAAGGGGTCCTGTCAGCTCGAGAATGCAAGGGCAGAACGTTATTTAATTCTTGGTTATATGAAGAGGATCGCTGTCACTCAACATTATGCCATAATTTAACTATACTTTGGATTATAGAAAATTGTTACCAAGAAAAGACAGACTTTTTTTTCAGGTAATGGATCAAGGAGGCAGGACCTCTGACATACTGAAACAGCAACAAACACAGCAAACACCACCCTGGTCCCAGGGATCATTAACTGACTGCTAGAGGCCATTGTACCTACGCTGGTAATATAATTATTTGTAAGCACCTCCAAGCCTAAGGCGTGAGGTCAAGTATGTGAAGTAATAGGAAATGGGAAGGAGAACAGGAATGTAATTGGTGTCCTGCCCCTTACACTGTTATTTCCTGAATGGTCTACTCCCACTTAAGTATTCACTTCTACCTCATCCACCCACTAAAATACCAACAAATAAGAATCAAAGAAACTACGAACTGTTTGACTCATCCAACATTTTAGTGTATTACAAATGATGTATCACGAGGAAAAAACAATTCAGTGCGTCTAAAACCCTCAATACTTACAAACCATTATTAATTGCCATTTTTATTATCTTGCACTTTTATGGTGCCGGCCAACTTGACATGTGCACTAGGATTTCTGTAATTATAATATCTTCAGCTTGTTCAAGGTGAGTTTGGTTATTTGCTTTCTTAGCGCAAAAGACGTATTTGCTCTTGCAACATGTAAATACATATTACTAATGTTACAGTGCAAAAGATAGTATTGCTTAGTATGTAAGGCAAAACGTAGTATCATTTTGTGAGTGTTCAAATTGAAGTGCTGATTAAAATATATCTAATTGTATCTATACCTACATATTCTAATATATGCCTTGATACATAAAGTTCTCAACTATGAAAACATTTTGGAAATGACCATCTATTTCTATGCTACTACCTTTATGCCATAAATGGGCTGCTGTAGTCTAGTGAAGTCACATTTCATTCTTTTGTGAACTGTTGCACCTGTTCTCACCATCCACCCATCTACTTTACCTGCAGACAAAGATGGCGTACGAGCAAGACATCAATGCAGCCTAATTAATCTGCCTAAATTACAACTGCATTTATGAAGTGAGATGGATTTTCTAGAAATTCTGACATTTTCTCACCATTTGTAGGTAGAAAGACCTTATGTAATCTCATGTATACTGGTCACTGGGTGGTCAACACTTTTTTTCATATGAAATGCAAAGATTAATTTCAGTCCAGGCCTGGTAAAAATAATCACACATTCATAATTTGTAGAATTTGAGTAAATTATATTTCTTTAGATTTTAAAAATATTGTAGCCACTTGTTTATTTCTAAACTTTGTAGGAGCAAATGTATTTATATATTAAGATTATAATACTATATCAATTACATTATGTTAAGGTCATAATATCATATAGATTTTTTTTAATTGTTCTATTCCCTTTAGAAGTCAATCCAAGAAGAAAAACGAAGACCAAGGAAAGATAGGTAATTATTATTTCCAGATTTCAATAAATTGTCAAACCAAAATATAAATCTAAGTTCAAATTAGATTAATAATCACCAATTTTATGTGGATTGATTTGGAAAGTAATGTGCTCTTTATACAATTTTGTTATAAATACCTGTGTGTGGTTTACATGTAATCTATAAGATCTTGTCTATTGACTGTATACTGAGCTAGCACCGTGTAAGGCATACATTAAGAACAGAAATAGTTCTGAATGAGTGGTACCGTCCCAATACGGAATTTGCTTTTCCTTGTTCTTGGATATGGTTTTGTTTGGGCAACTTGATCATGCCCATGTCCATGAATTTTCTTTCCCCAAACTCCTTTTTGTTTTTTGTTCTTCAAGACGTGCAAAGCCTCACTTTTACGGATTTGTTAAGAGGATAAGGTTTGCATCAACCTGCAGGCATGGCACGCTTAAATTCACCTGTTCCCCTCCTTTTCCTCTGGTATTTCAACCCACCAGTACTTTACTATTTTAATAGTTTACCACTGTTTCAATCATCTAATTTCCAGACAGGGCTAATAACAGTCAAGGGTTCTTCTGTTAAGCATGCATGCACACAGAGTTCCCAATTTATGGGTCGGTGGCATTCTGAAAGTTCATTTATAAACTGGTATCTAACTTGAAAAGCACTCTTCTGCAGAAGCACTGTAACAACTGGTGGTTTTCCAGACCTGCACCTGTTTACCTCACAGGAAGTCCCATCAGACTCAGATACTGAGCACCACAGGCACCAGAGCCACAGTCAGAATAGATCTAAGAATTACAATGGTTGAGGACATACATACCCCGTGTGTATGTCATGATCAGGAATTAAAATCTAGCACAATGGGTAGGAGGAAGACAGAAGGTTACCTGTGAAGGAAGTAAGGTAAGATCATGAAACAATGCATATATCAATGTACTGATGACTGATAAATTTGGAAAATGCTGTGTATTAGTACATAAAAGTCAGCTTTTCTCATAGTGGCCCAAGGGTGTTGTGAACCCTAACCTAGTCTAGCTAAACTGGAACATTGTAACCACTGGCAATCTAGTAACCACTGATATTGTGCCAAGTTGAACACCATAGAACCAGGAAGAGCCGCTGCTCTCTTAAAGGTGAGAGATAAGGGTTTTGTTTTTCTTTTTAATTTATGGTGTATACTGTTTTTGCACATTCCAGGACTTCTCCTATTTCTACTGACATGTATATGTTACTCTTAAATTTAGCAAATGCTTTAAAAGAAGAAAACAAGTATCCTGTAAGTTTAAATGAATGAAAAATTCGATTGATACGATGGTGTGTTTATGTGTTCACTTACAGTCAGGGAAAATTGTTAGATTTGGAAGATTTCTACTATAAGGAATTTTTACCCAGCCGTTCTGGACCAAAGGAACATCAACCTAGTTTAAGAGAACGAAGACAACAGAGAGAAGTCCAGAATCAATGTTTTAAGGCTGATGAAAGGTAATAAACTACACGTTATAAATTTTTCAATTTTATACTCACAGTTCCATTTCTAAATCACTTTCATTTTATGTACGTCTAGTGACAAAGCATTCTAACTGAATATTGCATCTTTGATAAGTTGTTTAAAAGTAAAATCAGAGGTATCATGGTAGGGTAATCAGACATCTCAGTTTTCTTAGCACAATCCCAGTTTATCCCCTTTGTCCTGGTGTAATCATTGATAGCATTCCCTTTTAAATGGACCTCAGTTTGGAAGACAAATTTATCACCATACTAATTCTAAGCAATATGCCATATCCAAAATCTGTGGTTAAACTCTAACCAGTATAATTTTATTCACTTATTGGTTTCTGAATTATACTGTGTAATTTTTTAGAATCAAAGATGTCAGATTTTTAAAAATATTTGGGAAAAAGATTGATGTAGAAATATATATTTTGGATTTGCTTTCTCACTTTGCCATGGACTTGGACATCAAGTACCTTAAATCATTTGTAGCTTACCTACGACCTTGGGAATTTTTTTTTCGTTCCTAAAAAACTCTTTACGAAGCTTTGAAATTGAGGGCACATAATAACATGGAAATGTGGTATATGAGAAATGTAAGCAATGACAGGCCATGAAAAGCTGTTTTCCAAAATCCTAAGCAAATGTCCTATCAGCCTAGGGCACTCAGGTCCCCTCACCTGTCTCTTCTACAATATGACCTGATGGCTAAGAGAAGAGGTCTTAGAGTCAGATTTGTATCTTGATTCTGCCACTCAGTAGCTGAGTGACCTTGCTCATGTTACTAGACCTCTCTAAGCTTTCGTGTGCACGTGTGCAAAAAGGTTTACTAAATACTGCCCCACCATGTTGTCATGGAGATGAAATGAAATAATGTTTGTGAGATGCTTAACACCAGATGTGACATAGGGGAAGCAGTCCCTAAAGATGGCTGCTACCATTTTTATTTGCTTTTCCAGAATCTACCTGTACCCAGAATCTACTTGTACCCAAAAGAAGATGCATTCTTTCACCTTGGGATCAAGAACTGTAACACAGTGGAACTTAGAGATGTCCCGTCTAATCACAGAGTTCTATACAGGAGAATACCAAGTGACTTTCCCAATGTCACACGTGGACAGTGAACCAAACCCAAGCTTTTTCAATCCCTGCTCAAATCGCATTTCACTGAGTTACCTGCTTCCCATTTCAACAACCTGGTCTGCCTCCTCTCCAGTATATTCTCCCGCCTCCCCCACCAGGAGACACACGTGTACTGTAAAAGCATTACATCCCTGAAGTACTGCCTGATATTCCAGCAGTGTCTATGGACATGTAGTTAGTGTTCACTAGAGTAAGAATGCCAGAAGCTAGCACTGGTGGAGTGCTTACCTTGTGCTAAGCGCTATGCTATGCTCTCATTAATCTTCACAGCAATCTCATAAGGCAATTACTATCATTGACCCATTTTATAGATGAGGAGGCTAAGTCTGCAAAGCTCAATGACTGCAGATACTCACCTAGATTATAAGTGATGGAGCCAGAATTTGAACACAGGCCTTCTCGAGTTTAGAGTCGATGACCTCAACCACTACTCTTTCACCTCTCTAAGCAAAGCCCCTGCTGGGTGTTTGGGGAAGGGATGGATGCATTGGTGCGGGAGATGCGATCCTTATCTGCAAGGAACTTGACTCGAGAAAGTATGTTGATATAACACAACTGAACGAGGTGACTCCGAGAGGGAATTTTTTAAACTACCATCAAATGTACTAGATAACCCTTGATAGGATCCTGAATTTAAAGTAGAAAACAAAAACAGCACAGAAAAAGAGCTCTAAAGGACTTTTGGAGACAATTAGAGAAATTTGGGGCTAAACTATATGTTGGATAATATTACTGCAGAAAGCATACATATCTTATTATATATTAAAGCATTATATAATAAATATGCGTTATGTTATATATGTTTATAGTATATAAATAGAACATATTTTATATAACATATTTCATAAATAACATTTATATAATATTTTATTATAATAATAAGTTTAACATATTTTTCTGACAATATATGTACTATTTACACACACACACACACACACACACACACACACAAAGTACTGATGTCACCCAGGAAAGCGCGAGTAGATCTGGGAATCAGGGACAAAGGCAATGATGAGTTAAGTGTCTTATGCATTTTAGATGAATGAAAGTGGTGGCAGGTAGCGATTCGAGAATGGCATCAGAGAGCAACAGCTCCTCAGATGGAACTTTACGGGTACCTGTTGAGCAATAGAGAGTGATGTGGGGTGTTTAAAACATAGCCAGGTTTTAATTATGGCAAGAAGATACAGGGAGGATGGAAGGGAAAAGTGGAGAAAAATAGACTGGAACAAGAGTGCTTCAGTTAAGGGACAGGAGAATCACAAAACAAGCATCAGCAGAAAAGAGGCAAAGAAATACAGTAGGGACAGTAGGAGATCTACTACATGCTCTGGACAATTCCTCATGTGCAGATTGACGATAAGAAGAACTAAGGCCTTGCCATGTTATCCTTAGAATTAAAAATAATGTGTGTAATGTACCTGGAAGATTGTTGGTCCTCAGTATTCTTATAATGGAAATGAGGTGAACAGGAATGAGAAGTCAAGTCAGTTACCCAAGATCCTCCCCATCACAAAGACCTTCACGAAGATTCCTTTTCTTAAATTCCCTATTCAAAATGGACTAGAATAAAGGCATATTCCATCTGCAGGCAAATTCTAACTTTTCCTTTCTAGCCTCTCATTATTTTCACTCATTTGCATATGTCTTCAATGACCTTGCCCCTTTCTCCTTCAGTTATATTCAGCTGGTAAACCCCAATGCTGGGTGAACCCAACTTCTTACCTGATCCATACCCACATCCATGTACCTGAACATGAGTAGAGAAAAACACAGTCTATTCTCACTTAAAATTTATGACCGCATACTTTGGGCAGGCCCTCGGAGTTATTCTGCAATACTACATTTCCCTAAATATCCATTATTTCACTTTCCCAGTCTACTCTTTCAGACTTCTTCTGCTCTATCACCTGACAGTCTTTTTTTTTTCCCCTATTTTACTGAGAAAGCAATAGCAGAGAACAGACACATGCTCCCACCACCAAATCTACCACTTACCCATATACTCCCCTCAGTTGACCATGGGTGACTGTCTGTCTTCCAGCTCCTTCCCTCTACTCAAGAACATTGTCCAGCAATTGTCCACTCTCCCCTCTGCATCTTGAACATTTGTTCTCTTTACAGCATCATCTCTGACAATCTGTTAACATGATGCAGTTGGGCCCATCATAAAAAACACCCTTGACTCAGTCCCCCTTCCAGACCACCCACATTCCTGCCCGTCATTATTAAAAGAGAAATAATTCATGAGCATGATCAGATCTCCACATCCTCTCTTCCCATTCTCTCCTGAGCTACTTCACTCCGGTTTCCAATCCGACCACTCCACTGACACTGCCCCTGTCAAGGTCACCGGTGACCTCCATTTTCCATATCCCGTTATCTATTTTCAATTCTTATCTCACCCCATCAGCAGCATTGAACATTTCTTCTTTACAATTACTCATTTTTTTTCTTTAAACGTTTTCTCCATTTGTCTCCAGGCTAAGACTTCTCTTGGTTTACCTCCTACCTCACTGGCTGCCTCTTCTCCTTCTCCTTTGCTACTTCCTCCTCATTGCACCGACCTCTCAACATTGGAGTGTCCCAGTCCTTTGCTTTATCAACACGTACTCTGATTACCTTAAGTATCATCTATTTAGTTAAAATTCCTAAACTGAAATCTCTAGCCTAGATCAGGGCTTGGGTATCCAACTGCCTAGTCAGCATCTCCTCTTGGATATTTAATAAGTAAACTTAGCATAACCAAAACCAAAATTTTTATCCACCTCCTCCCCCACAAAATATGCTCCTCCTGCAGCTTTCCTCATATCAAATGGCAACTTTATCCTTCCAGTTGTTTAAATCAAAAACCTTGGAGACGTTTTTGGTTCCTCGCCTTTACATTCCACATCCAGTCCATCAACAAACTTTCAGTTCTACCTGCCAAGTTATGACCAGAATCTGATCGTTTCTTACCTGTTCTACAAGCCTAGAATAAGCCATTATCAGTCTCACTTGGACTAGTGCAGGATCTTACAGGCCTCCCTGTGTCCGCACTGGAAGCCAGATCCTTTCACGAATCCTTCCTTGGTTCAGAATTTTCCAAAGTCTCTCTCACTGTAAGTAAAATTCAAGTCCTTGCAATGGGCTCCAAGCACTAAATTATCTTCCACGCTGCTTTATTCTTCCTTTCTCATCCTTTGCTATTCTCCCCATCCCTCACTCCATTTATGCCACAGTGGCCTCCTTACTATTCCTTGAACACAATACTCACTCTGTAGTCTTGAGACCTTTACGTTGTTTTACTGTCATCCTAGAATGACTGCCTTTCCCTTAGAGATATGCTGGCTCGCTCCTCCTCTCCCTACAGGTCTCTCCTTCCATGTCACCTTTTGGGTGGCTTTTCCTCAGCACCCTCTATGACATTGCTTGTACACACACACACACACACACACACACACACACACACACACACACACCACTCTTTCTCCATTAGCCTGTTTTGTCTAGCAGCTCTCACCATCTGGTATATTAAAAGCTGTCTATGGCCCTCTCCTGTACTAGACTATAAACTCCATGAGAGCAGGGAGCTTTGCTCACCTATCACCTGCACTGGTGGCTGGTACTTAGGGGGTGTTCTATGGATAAATGGATGAATCTATGTAGCTGCATTTTAGGTAGCACCCCACTTTCCCAGGCAAGCTGCAGAATCCAAAAGTAAACACTGGCAGGGGTTCCCAGCAGTGAGTTCAGGAAATTTGGTCCAGCGGCCTCACTGAAAACAATGAGACAATGGAAAAGCTGAAAGGCCCACAGCCACTGCATGGAACCCCGAGTGCTTGGTCAGATTTGAGGAGAGCATTTTTAAGAAACATTTGAGCAGCTTAAAATGCAAAATAATGGTTGTCTATTAGGCAACTAAAATAAGTATTTGTTTTTTGGTTGTGTATTATTTCAAGCCAAATAGCCTCACCTTTCTGAACTAAACCTTTGACGCTTAGCCATCATCCAAGCACAGAGACACCAGGTTCCACTGGCCTTTCTGCTCCTGGACTCAGAGGAGTTTTGAAAACCTGCCGAGAAAAATTATCGCAGATCCTTTTGGCCACTATCCTGACGTTTTGAATGTGCTGTTCTCAAATCCCCGCCAGTGGTGCGAGGTGCGGGGAAGACGATTCTAACTCAGACTGGGCGGGGATGTGCTTGCTGCTCACGGTGGCGCCGCTGACGCCCGGGCCCTGGGTCTCGCTCGCAGGTGCTGGGCGGCGGAGGACCCCGAGGAGGAGGAGATTGGGCCGGCGCCCAACCCCTACGACTACAGGAGGCTCTTGCGCAAAACCTCCCAGCGCCGGCGTCTGGTCCAGCAAGTGTAGTAGACCAGCTGCTCCGCGGCCTCGGCCGCCGAAATGTGCTGGAGACAGTGTTGTGCAGGAGCCAAAGCGGGGGACCCTCAGGCGTTGACAGCAGCGGGCGCTGAAGCCACGGCCGTGACCCCTCGAGTGCCTGGGCCAGCCTTTGGCGCTCGGAAGGCAGAGACCTGGGATCCCTTCAGACCCCGCCTAGTCGCGCTCCTCACCCTCTCTTCCTGTCCCCCAATGTATCTGCGTTCACTTGTTTGCGACTCCTTTTGAGCCCCCGACTGCGCTGGAGCTCTCGTTGACCCCTCCTCTCTCATTTTGTGGGACTTCAAAGATTTCTTCTTTCATGGCAACGCCTCTCCCTCCCAGGCTCGCGGGACACTCAGGGACGGGTTGAGTCTGTGAGAACTGGACAAAGCCCGGTGAGCGGAGAAGCGCGGGGTGGGCGAGAGGAGCTTTGAATATGAATTTTTTTCTCAAACTCGTGCTTTCCCTTTCCTTGGTTATTAAGGTTACTAAATAAAGGAAGTGCCTTGGAAAGTCCGTGGCTCTCAGGGCTGGTGCGCTGTATTCTCCTTTGGGGCCCAGCTCTTGGAGTCCCGCTGTGCGGGTGAGGACCACCACGACGTGAGGGAGGAGCCTTTTGTCTCCGTGAGTGAACAATCTCCCCACGGCCACCCAAACACGCATACGAAGTTAAAACCCCTTACCTGCGACACATACATGGCCTCCAGACAAATCTCCAAATCCCTCAATACGCTACAAACACACGCACACACACACACACACACACACGCACACACGCACGCACACACACACACACCCCTTTCCCAAACGATGTGGCTTCCTATGGCCCCGCCTATAATTAACTGTCAGATTTTTTAGGATTTCTTAGTCTGCGCATTTGGGACAATCTCTGCTGCTCTGAATTTTGGTGAATTTAAGACGGATGAGAGGGCACCGGTTGGCAGAGGTTTGCATTCCTTGGTCGATGCGTCCAGTTTTAAAACCCAGGTTGAGCTTTACTATGAAACAGACACCCTCCGTGTCTACGCGGCCTGGTGCGGGTGAGGAAGGGTTGCGCGGTGGTTTCATCGACGACTGAATTGGGAGAAGGGTTCTCGCTGGGATGGGGCTGTCCCTTCTGCCTGTGTCCCCGGCCCCTGCACCCACGGCCCAGAGCCAGGAGACTGGGGAAATATTCGAGGAGAGGGTGAAAGCGCGTGCAGCCGGCTGGTACGTTTGTTGTGCCACTCGCCCACCGGACGTCAGGTTCGCTCCAGCCCAAAGAATTAGCGCCGAAGATGACTCCTACAGACTCTTCCTTTTACAAAAGAGACCTGCGCGAATGAAACGTCCCATGGTGGCAGGGCTGAGCTCCAAGGCCAA